ACTTGCTCGGGAAGAATGTCTCCAAAGAAGTGTGTTTTTGGTTGTAAGGGAAAGATAACTTTGTTCAGCTTCCTAAAGAACCCAGCGTTATGTAAACAGTGGATGCAGTTTGTTTTTCCGGAGCAGCAACGGAGTTTCACAAGTGTGTTTGTTGACGAACGTTTTATAAACAAGGCCCAGTTCGAGCTGGATTTGCACATCGTTTGATACTGAAAGATGGAGCGGTCCCAGCTATAAAAGATCCTGGTCATGATTCAGAACTGCAGACGGTAAGTGTAACTGCATCAAATGTCTGTTTTGTTGGCATTCGGCACCCAAGTGCTCGTCACTCTTTAGCTCCGCCCACGGCGCGCCTCCAGGAGCTCGGCTTTTTCCGGAGAGAATCGTAAAGCTGTATCTTTCTTTTATAAATATGATCAAACTAAAGACTTTTTGGAGATATGAAGGATGTAGTACGACTCTATACTCAAGATTAACATGAGATTGGGTGAAACTGTGTGTGTTATGCCCCTTTAACATTTTCTCCAATTTTGAGGAGAATACCCTCAAATTAAAGCTCAGAGTGTGCACTTTAAGCCCATATTATATAACTGTAACATGAATGTTTTGGTCAGCAGCTAAAATATAATAAGAATTGTGCCCGTGTCCAAATACATGACTATATGTGTGTGTGTGTGTGTGTGTGTATATAAAAATAATTTAATATTAAAATGATAGAAAAGTGGTTTGAATGAATGATTCAATGACTCACTCATAAATAGCCTATTTCATTACTGGATGAATCAGCGTTTTTGAATGAATCTCTTGAATGAATGATTCAATGACAAATAAATTTTTAACAGCAACTTGTCACAATGTAATCGACACAAACGTTATTAGAAGTGCCAATTACTTTCAAAAGGTGATTTGCTCTATTTTAATCGCTACCATAGTGTTCAAATCTGAACTATAAACTTTTATCCTAGTACTTCTGTGATAATATGAATGACTGTAAGACAGAAAAATACTGTGTAGTTGAAAGGCTGTTTGTGAAGCTGTTTCTTACCTAAACATAGTCACTGTCTGCTCTCTGTGTCAGTGGCAGCACGAACACAGATTTTAATGTTCCGGTATGATTTTTTTCAAAGGTTAAGTAGACACAGACGAATCGCTGTCATGTAGAAATTAGATAGACATTGCAATCTTTTAACGATTAATCGTGCAGCTCTAATTTCCAGGATGTTATTGAAGTCCTTGTTTAACGCATGTTAATTTTCCAAAAGATTCAGTCTGATTTGTTGTACTGGTTTAAACAGTTCACTAAAAAGAACCATTTCAAAATAATGATTTGTTCACGACCTGGACATCACAAGTATGTTGTTGGCAAACCTAAGCAAGCATTGAGATCTCTTCTGAAGCTTCAGAGAAGACACATATGAAATTACTAGGGTCTTTTTCCTCAGGAGAAAATTATGAGAAGTAGGAGACTTGATCATTTACTCTATATTTATTCTGCCTGGGAGAAATAGTTGAGATATTAAAGAGATCTCATTTGTGATTTTTTTTCCTGTGGGATGTCAAGACTGATGATCCATGTGAACTAAATAGGGCAGCACAGATCCAATCAGCTTTGAACATAAACTTTACCTTCTCATTTCACCAAAATCATACAGAAAATGCATCTCCCCCTATTTAGACATGCACACGCTCATTAACACCCTGGATTGAGCCATCAGAGGTTTGTTCATCACTCAAGGGAATTGCTTTGACCTAGATCCAGTGGCAACCATAAAGAGCATTAAACACAGGGGAAAACAAATCACTTCTGCAAGTCACACACAAAATGTTCTTTATAAGGGCGAAAACAAAAAATAATGATTCAACTGTTTGTTTTTTTTTAGATCCATACTCTACCACACAGTTCCAGTGATCTAGCTAAATGCGGGGCTAATTTCAAGTGTGTAGGGCTAATTTGAGCTATGAATTGCACTTCAACAGCCTCAAAGCTCCTGTGGTCAGGTTGCCATGGCTACTTTGGGACTAGACGTGCTGCTGAGTTGCCAATCAGCACTGTAGTTTACAGCAGACACCCACCTGTTATGTCACTAAAACACACTGAAAGAAGAAGGGGACACAGCAGGACTCCAGACACTGGAGAATGTCAAACCGGGAGACTCAAAATGAGTCAGGACATTCATTGGAAACCGGAAGCGCTCTCAGAAAAACAACAACAACAACTGTATTTTCACTTGTTGTACTGCCTCCACTTTTTCCAATCTATAAAACAGACAACGAATGCACACACACACACACACACACACACACATATATATATATATATATATATATATATACATATAAAAATGACCTTGCTGATGTGGAACTCCAGTCTTCGCATGTATCGCTCTATAGTCTTGATTTGCTAGGATGCAAGAAGAGAAAACGTCAAAAATTAAAGTTATTCACTCAAAAAGAAAAGGCCAAATAGAAGAAAGTTTTCAAACAGGGATGAATCTAAGTTCAGAGCCCCAAATTTTCAACACGGCTGACACCTGCGGCGATTAGTGTCGCAATAACGGATCACTGCTGCAGGAATGCAGCACATCATTTATGCAAAGCTGCTTATTTTTCCTGCTGCATGTTTCTGACCTCAAACTTCTTAGAAAGGTTAACACAGGTCACCTAAGACAGGTTATGAAGCATTAGTGTGTTTAGGGACCCTACCTTGTCCAGATCATACAGCACACCCTGAGGAAGAAAAAAAGATATGTGAAATCAGTGGAAATGCTACAAAAATCAACATTTTATTATTAAAAAAAAAAACTGATGTTTGGACAAAATCACTGCTGAAAAGACCATCTTAGATCAGCCTGATGGTCCAGGCTGGTTTATGCTGTTTAATGGCAACAAAATTGAACTGATGAATTACTGAAAATAGTTGACCAGGGATTTCTCGCTTCTTTTAGCTAGTAAAGAAGTCTGACTCCAGCACACCAGCATCCAACTAAAACATATGCTGCACTGCAATTAATGACTTTTTAATGACTTTTTAATTTCTTTTTGTACTTTTTTCACTTGTTTTTTATTTGTTTATAATAAAAAGAAAGAAATCTGCCACTGCAGTACGCCAGAATGTCTCCTATTAAAAATACAGTCTCTGAAGAAAAGTCTTAATATCTTATGCAATATTGCTTCTCAAATAAAACATCTTGTTTAAAGCATTTCTAGATATTCGAATACATTATTTCATTACAATATGTTTTTGAAAATGTATAATATGCATAATATATGGTTTGTAAAAATGTAATATTGTGAAATATTATTGCAATTTAAATTCAAATTTAATGTGTCCTTGTTGAATTCTTTTTCAGTTTTTCAGCAGGATATACTGTACATTCTAGAGTCATTAACAGTCATTTTGAGTAAAGGTGCTTTCACACTACAGAAAACTCAGACAGGGTTTGACGGATAGGAATGCACAAGGTTGATTAAATCGTATCAACTCGATTTTGAGGACATTTAAAGAGACTGGTCCAGGAATACACTGAATTGGACTTCTGAAACGGCCTCACTGGCTACTGCTGGTAGATGCTGGAACTACGCAATCTTGTACTCTGACTAAATCAACAAACAACATTTACATTGTGAATAATTCATTATACTACAATGTTTCAACAGTTGCTGATTAGTTTTTGGAGAGTTTATATCCCTGCTCTGCTGCCTTTGACTTAACTCATGATATTTGCTCATTGAAATCAATAGATTTGCAGCACTCTGACGCAGTGTAAACCATAGTGTGTAGGCACGCCGATGATGTCATATCCAGTCTCACCAGTCTGGAGTTCCTCTTCATGTCTTTCATGAGGGAAGTGAGTTTATCCAGCTCTGTTTGGTGCACCTCTAGATATTCACTGACAGAAAGAGAAAATGACAAAGACTTCAGAATGATGCAGGAACAATGGCCGTACACAGAGATTTAATCACAGCCATTCTGAGCAGCAGTGATTCATGCGGTCAATGTGCGCTAAATATAACTGTAGTGAGAGCTGAGAGAGAAGATCTATGTGACAAGAGGAAACATCTGAGCAGCACTCACTCCAGGCCTTGTTTAAGGGCTCCGTAAACTTCTTCCACTCTTTTGGGCTGCGGCTCTCGTGAGCTGCTGCTGCTGCTGGACTTGTGCCCGGACAGATGGGGCTTCCTGGGCTTTGAGATGGGCTTCTTCTGCACTGCTGAGTTCCCCATGAAGGAGTTACACCTGAAAACAATAATATTCCCGTTTCATAATAACACAATGGCAGTTGGTTGCTCGACATGAACGTGTCTGAACGTGTCACACGCACACGCAGTCAACAAAAGCACTGCAAGTAGTGCTACAGTAAATCTAGGCCATTGTGTAGAATGAGCACATGCTGTTGCCTAAGGGTCATCCACTCACGATGCACTGCGTCATGCTAAGATAAGCCAGTGTGCCCTGAACAAACACACTCTTTAATGCTGTTACTGCACCCACTGTTTTACACAAACATAATAAGTGGCTCTTTTGCAATTTTGAAGTTTATTTTTACATTCCAAAATCTAGTGGAAAGTCTTCCCAGAACAGTGAAAGTGGTTACTGCAACAATTTTTAAAAATTGTTTTAGCCTCTGACAGGGCAGATGACCTCACCGTGAGCGTCTCTCCTGCAGGGTGCTGAAGCCGGCGAATGACTGGCTCCTGATGATGCCATTGGGCCCTCCAGGAGAGTGAGTGCCAGCAGCCATGATGTCTGGGAAGCGGGAGGACACTCCTGCAAGAGGGTAGAGAGGATTCTGGGTAAGAGAGAAGTCAGTGGAACAGATGGGGGAAGGGTTGTGTGTGTAGAATGATGGTGTTGGGAATGACCAAATTTTTAACCAGTACTCCATTTAAAAAGATAGTTCACCCAAAAATGAAAATTTAGTAGTGAAAATTTAACAGCATTTTTTTTCATTTTTGGGTGAACTATCCCTTTAATGACATAGTCATTAAACTATGTCAACATAATTATTTCAAACACACAAATAATAAATAATAAACAGTGATTACATTAATGCACTTATAACCGAAGATAAGATTTCAGGGGTTTAAATGCAGAAATGTACAGTTACTCCTTTTGTTAAAACAATTTGAAATGAACTTGATTCATGTCACAGATTTTTGTTTGGGTTTTTGCTTTTGCTTTTTTGTATGTGTATGTGGTAATTGATATTACGACAAATGCTGTGATTAACTTAGTGAACCTGACACATTCACCGGATTTTATTTTTCTCATGAAAAGATATCCTGACAACTGTGACTCTAGATCAAAGTACATAAAACCAGCTGAAAATCACACAGGAAAGCAAGCAATGAGTCATTTAATCTCCTGTGTATACAGTTACTGAAAATAGCACTGCTGGGTGAGAAGACCCCATACGGTGCACATTCAGAGGTTTTTATAAAGCGCTCAAAGCCACCTGAGCCCACCGCAGAAAAAGCACTTAGAAGCATGAGGAGGCCTAATGGAGCCCAGAAAGACCAACGTCATCACTCATTTCTATCAAGTGTAATGATCCAGCGAGGGCACAGAAGTCTCCTGCTTACAAAAAGCCTTCAAGATCATCCCTGATCTCCTTATAGCTCATCTCCAACCTCCCATAATTCATCAGAGCAAAGCGGGATAATGACAGCGGCGATTTGAGGGTAATGAGGGTATCTGTGATCATCGATGTGAGAGACTCATTCTGACCCCAGATCAGCATGCAACCTTCGTAGCCCTGCCTGGCACTGATATCTACACCAGAAAAGAGGGAAAAACCTGGGTTTTGCAGTTGAGATTCTCTCCATAGTTGAGGTTTCATTCACACTGTATCCAGGGGCTGTTTGTCGGAGGTAACCATACACCTGTGGGTTTATGCTCAGTGCAATAGATACATAATTGCTTATATAAAGCTACACCAAACCAATACAGCTCTGAAATAGATGTTGTTTGCAGAGGAAAAACAAAAGAGCCTTGTATAACTGGCTATTTATAGGCAATGTTATATTGGCTTTGCCTCTAGAATGAACTAATGTACTGTACATCTTGATCATTTGACAAACACTCAGATCATCTTCATAAACAGGAAAATAAAAGGCAGAAATATTAAAAGAATACACAGCAGCATACAATTCTTGAAGTCTAAAATAACCCATCCAACCAGAGAACTGCTATAGAGAATGGAGATATTAAATTTTCATATTTTTAAAAATAGGTGTCCCTTTTGTTGTTCTGTGTCCATAATGTTATCAAAACTATAAAGTAAAAACTATACTAGCTTAAAAACGGCACGATTTTCTAAATAAATATTATTTTTATATTAATATTCAAGAAATATTCAGTTATGAAAATATAAAATATGTTCTAATAAAATAGCGAATTAAAATAATCTACTAAAATAGAATAAAAATGTATGTATGTATATACTGTATGTGCATACACATACATTTTTCATTGTATTATGATATTATGTATGATGATTCTTTAATATAATACAATGAACATATATATATACAGTTGTGCTCATAAGTTTACATACCCCTTGCAGAATGTGCAAAATATTAATAATTGAAACAAAATAAGAGGGATCATGAAAATTGCATGTTATTTTTTATTTAGTACTGTCCTGAATAAGCTTTCACCTAAAAGATGTTTACATATATAGTGTAAATATAGTATATTTACTGTTATTTCAATTAAATTGATTAATTTACTAAATTTTTAATTGAATATTAATAGTGCAATGTAATTTATTTTGTATCAACTTAATTTATGCATCCAAGGGTTAATGCTGAAATCTATAAAAATTAAAAAATTTTAAAAAACTAACACAAGGAAACCAATATAACTAATTGCTTATTTTAACAAACAAAGGTTCCACTTCAGTTTCAAAAACACAAAGCGACACTGTGCCAACCAGTGCATGCTGGGATTGTTCCACTCATTCTATTCAGGCCTAGTCGTCTCGGTTCACAGGCACTGGTGAAGCGCCCGTTGATGTGGACTACGTCATCCCCGTCCCTCCGGGCACGACGGCTCATAAGTATTCTGACTACAGCTGCCTGGTACCCAACTCTGAACTCTTCACTGTGAGAGACGGATGACGAGGACAAAAGAACCAGAGAGGGGGGCTTCATTAATTTGTCACCTCCAGCAGGGACCATGTTTATCTGGCTCGTTGAGGGTGTGAGGGGGTCTTGAAGCTGGGCTGGAGAAGTACTGAATAAAAAGTGTGTGTGAGGCAGAGGGGGTCCCTCGTTTCCTCCCAACAGCCCATATTATGAATTCTGACTAGTGTTTTTGTCGTTTTAAGCATAAATCTAAGTTTATCTAGTGAGCTGTTTAAAATAAGAAAGCAACTGCGGAAAAACAAAAAAAAACAACAACTCAAGTTATATTCTCTGAAAATAAGAACTAATATCTTACACTCTTAAAAGATACAGTGTCTTTTATAAGAATGCATAACATATCAGTACCGTATCGGTTATCGGCCGATTTAACAGTGTCGGTCAATGCTGGATATTTCATTATTCCTGCTTATTTCCCCAATTTTTATATTTAGAATACTTTTGCTGTCATCTTCCAAAACACTCATCATTTAACAACATTGTTAAATGCAAATCTCAAAATGAATATTAATTTTTCATATTATACACAAATTGTGTGATGCCTAAATTCACTTGTATCTTATAAAAAGATTGATTTAGGATTTTTTTGTATTTTAATCCTTCATTTATCTAGACAAAATATTGAATTTTAATATCTACAATTTATTGGTTATCGGCCATAACATAAAAACGATTGGCTTAACATTTCAGACACTTTTAACACTAGTGCAACTCAAGTTTTAAAGACACAGAGATTTAATCACAGCCATTCTGAGCAGCAGTGATTCATGCGGTCAATGTGCGCTAAATATAACTGTAGTGAGAGCTGAGAGAGAAGATCTATGTGACAAGAGGAAACATCTGAGCAGCACTCACTCCAGGCCTTGTTTAAGGGCTCCGTAAACTTCTTCCACTCTTTTGGGCTGCGGCTCTCGTGAGCTGCTGCTGCTGCTGGACTTGTGCCCGGACAGATGGGGCTTCCTGGGCTTTGAGATGGGCTTCTTCTGCACTGCTGAGTTCCCCATGAAGGAGTTACACCTGAAAACAATAATATTCCCGTTTCATAATAACACAATGGCAGTTGGTTGCTCGACATGAACGTGTCTGAACGTGTCACACGCACACGCAGTCAAAAAAAGCACTGCAAGTAGTGCTACAGTAAATCTAGGCCATTGTGTAGAATGAGCACATGCTGTTGCCTAAGGGTCATCCACTCACGATGCACTGCGTCATGCTAAGATAAGCCAGTGTGCCCTGAACAAACACACTCTTTAATGCTGTTACTGCACCCACTGTTTTACACAAACATAATAAGTGGCTCTTTTGCAATTTTGAAGTTTATTTTTACATTCCAAAATCTAGTGGAAAGTCTTCCCAGAACAGTGAAAGTGGTTACTGCAACAATTTTTAAAAATTGTTTTAGCCTCTGACAGGGCAGATGACCTCACCGTGAGCGTCTCTCCTGCAGGGTGCTGAAGCCGGCGAATGACTGGCTCCTGATGATGCCATTGGGCCCTCCAGGAGAGTGAGTGCCAGCAGCCATGATGTCTGGGAAGCGGGAGGACACTCCTGCAAGAGGGTAGAGAGGATTCTGGGTAAGAGAGAAGTCAGTGGAACAGATGGGGGAAGGGTTGTGTGTGTAGAATGATGGTGTTGGGAATGACCAAATTTTTAACCAGTACTCCATTTAAAAAGATAGTTCACCCAAAAATGAAAATTTAGTAGTGAAAATTTAACAGCATTTTTTTTCATTTTTGGGTGAACTATCCCTTTAATGACATAGTCATTAAACTATGTCAACATAATTATTTCAAACACACAAATAATAAATAATAAACAGTGATTACATTAATGCACTTATAACCGAAGATAAGATTTCAGGGGTTTAAATGCAGAAATGTACAGTTACTCCTTTTGTTAAAACAATTTGAAATGAACTTGATTCGTGTCACAGATTTATGTTTGGGTTTTTGCTTTTGCTTTTTTGTATGTGTATGTGGTAATTGATATTACGACAAATGCTGTGATTAACTTAGTGAACCTGACACATTCACCGGATTTTATTTTTCTCATGAAAAGATATCCTGACAACTGTGACTCTAGATCAAAGTACATAAAACCAGCTGAAAATCACACAGGAAAGCAAGCAATGAGTCATTTAATCTCCTGTGTATACAGTTACTGAAAATAGCACTGCTGGGTGAGAAGACCCCATACGGTGCACATTCAGAGGTTTTTATAAAGCGCTCAAAGCCACCTGAGCCCACCGCAGAAAAAGCACTTAGAAGCATGAGGAGGCCTAATGGAGCCCAGAAAGACCAACGTCATCACTCATTTCTATCAAGTGTAATGATCCAGCGAGGGCACAGAAGTCTCCTGCTTACAAAAAGCCTTCAAGATCATCCCTGATCTCCTTATAGCTCATCTCCAACCTCCCATAATTCATCAGAGCAAAGCGGGATAATGACAGCGGCGATTTGAGGGTAATGAGGGTATCTGTGATCATCGATGTGAGAGACTCATTCTGACCCCAGATCAGCATGCAACCTTCGTAGCCCTGCCTGGCACTGATATCTACACCAGAAAAGAGGGAAAAACCTGGGTTTTGCAGTTGAGATTCTCTCCATAGTTGAGGTTTCATTCACACTGTATCCAGGGGCTGTTTGTCGGAGGTAACCATACACCTGTGGGTTTATGCTCAGTGCAATAGATACATAATTGCTTATATAAAGCTACACCAAACCAATACAGCTCTGAAATAGATGTTGTTTGCAGAGGAAAAACAAAAGAGCCTTGTATAACTGGCTATTTATAGGCAATGTTATATTGGCTTTGCCTCTAGAATGAACTAATGTACTGTACATCTTGATCATTTGACAAACACTCAGATCATCTTCATAAACAGGAAAATAAAAGGCAGAAATATTAAAAGAATACACAGCAGCATACAATTCTTGAAGTCTAAAATAACCCATCCAACCAGAGAACTGCTATAGAGAATGGAGATATTAAATTTTCATATTTTTAAAAATAGGTGTCCCTTTTGTTGTTCTGTGTCCATAATGTTATCAAAACTATAAAGTAAAAACTATACTAGCTTAAAAACGGCACGATTTTCTAAATAAATATTATTTTTATATTAATATTCAAGAAATATTCAGTTATGAAAATATAAAATATGTTCTAATAAAATAGCGAATTAAAATAATCTACTAAAATAGAATAAAAATGTATGTATGTATATACTGTATGTGCATACACATACATTTTTCATTGTATTATGATATTATGTATGATGATTCTTTAATATAATACAATGAACATATATATATACAGTTGTGCTCATAAGTTTACATACCCCTTGCAGAATGTGCAAAATATTAATAATTGAAACAAAATAAGAGGGATCATGAAAATTGCATGTTATTTTTTATTTAGTACTGTCCTGAATAAGCTTTCACCTAAAAGATGTTTACATATATAGTGTAAATATAGTATATTTACTGTTATTTCAATTAAATTGATTAATTTACTAAATTTTTAATTGAATATTAATAGTGCAATGTAATTTATTTTGTATCAACTTAATTTATGCATCCAAGGGTTAATGCTGAAATCTATAAAAATTAAAAAATTTTAAAAAACTAACACAAGGAAACCAATATAACTAATTGCTTATTTTAACAAACAAAGGTTCCACTTCAGTTTCAAAAACACAAAGCGACACTGTGCCAACCAGTGCATGCTGGGATTGTTCCACTCATTCTATTCAGGCCTAGTCGTCTCGGTTCACAGGCACTGGTGAAGCGCCCGTTGATGTGGACTACGTCATCCCCGTCCCTCCGGGCACGACGGCTCATAAGTATTCTGACTACAGCTGCCTGGTACCCAACTCTGAACTCTTCACTGTGAGAGACGGATGACGAGGACAAAAGAACCAGAGAGGGGGGCTTCATTAATTTGTCACCTCCAGCAGGGACCATGTTTATCTGGCTCGTTGAGGGTGTGAGGGGGTCTTGAAGCTGGGCTGGAGAAGTACTGAATAAAAAGTGTGTGTGAGGCAGAGGGGGTCCCTCGTTTCCTCCCAACAGCCCATATTATGAATTCTGACTAGTGTTTTTGTCGTTTTAAGCATAAATCTAAGTTTATCTAGTGAGCTGTTTAAAATAAGAAAGCAACTGCGGAAAAACAAAAAAAAACAACAACTCAAGTTATATTCTCTGAAAATAAGAACTAATATCTTACACTCTTAAAAGATACAGTGTCTTTTATAAGAATGCATAACATATCAGTACCGTATCGGTTATCGGCCGATTTAACAGTGTCGGTCAATGCTGGATATTTCATTATTCCTGCTTATTTCCCCAATTTTTATATTTAGAATACTTTTGCTGTCATCTTCCAAAACACTCATCATTTAACAACATTGTTAAATGCAAATCTCAAAATGAATATTAATTTTTCATATTATACACAAATTGTGTGATGCCTAAATTCACTTGTATCTTATAAAAAGATTGATTTAGGATTTTTTTGTATTTTAATCCTTCATTTATCTAGACAAAATATTGAATTTTAATATCTACAATTTATTGGTTATCGGCCATAACATAAAAACGATTGGCTTAACATTTCAGACACTTTTAACACTAGTGCAACTCAAGTTTTAAAGGGATAGTTCAATCAAAAATGTAAATTCTTTCATCATTTACTCACCCTCAAGTTGTCCCAAACCTGTATGACCAAACAGCTGACGGTAGCCATTGTCTTCCATAGTATTTTTTTAATCATACTATGGAAATCAATGGCTACCGTCGACTGTTTGGTTACCAAGATTCTTCAAAATATATTCTATTGTGTTCAATAGAGGCTAGAAACTCATACAGGTTTAGAACAACTTGAGGGTGAGTAAATTATGACACAATTTTTATTTTCCGGTGAACTAGCCTATCCCTTTAAGTTTGTTAGAGTATTTTTACTGAAAAACCAAAAATGGATGCGATTAATATCAAACAAATAACATCAGGATTTTATAGTTTCCATTTCTTTTCTGCATTTCAGCGCTTGGAAAAGTAATTTTATTTCCCACGCAAGCACGTGTGCACAGCCGCATGCACACGCGGACACTATCTGCATGCGTGAATATCATCAAACTCAACCCACACTGCAACTTAACAGCAGCACGATTCCTAAAGGCTGTATAAATTATAGTTTCTATAGTAACAGCAGACAATGCACAATGTGTCCAGTAAAAGACCACTGTTATCATGGATCCCCCACAGCAGGCCTCCTCCTGTCCTTCTGCTCTGAGGACCCATTGTCTTCCCCGGTCTTTTGCTCTAAGGTAGGAGTTCAATCCCAGCAGCTGTGTGATGCTCAGCTGGTCTTGTTCCACACTCTCCACTACGCCTTGGAAGAGCGAAGAACTCACTTCAAACATCCATGCCAACTGTCAGGCATGTGGCAGTGACCGACTGACCCTGTTCTACTCATGCTGTAGTAATGTGTGCTTTGGGCAGTGTCACCAAACGGGCCAGAACAAGGATCTGCAAAACACATACACTCAAAATCAACAAGTCTATTGGTTGACTCAATGACCAAATATGTCATAACAAGTCTGACTTACGTCGCTGCACAGGAAAGGAGTCTTTATTATAAGCACAAAGATTATAAACACAGTGAAACATGATTCTAAAGCAGGCACATGATGACTGAATGGATGCTCTTGTGTTGTGACCGAAAGATCATGACAGTGGCTGCTATTGTTTAAAAGTGTCCTAAAAAATCCAACATTCTTCACGAAATTGGGAGGCACTTTAAGTTTATTGCCACATGAACAAACAAAGTGAAACATCCCCCATGTCAGAAAAAAACACAAACACACAATAAAATGTGACAAAGAATGTAAGGGGGAATAATACAAAGAAAATACTAAAACTCCCTCTCACTAGGGTCAGTGATGCTTTGTTCCATTCAATTTCATTCAAGTCAGAAACTCTTGAAACACTCTTGAAAACTTTCTATTGTTTCTATCTATACTTTCTAACCTAAAAAAATTAATTGAATGAATTGAAAGTTAACAGAGACCCAAACTGAAGTGGACCAAAAAGAAATCCACATTTTATACATGCAAAGAGAACCGAAGTCCTTGCACAATTTCCATGCTAGTCATAACTGCTTTATTGCTGGTCAACCAGAATGGTTTTACTGGTGACGTTTGGTAAGAAAAAACTATTTTGTGGAATTGTTTGCAACAATTTAATAAAGTTTAATTGAACTGACCTTTATTTTGAGTGCAGTATATGGCACGCCTTATATTTTCCTCATTTCTCTCAGCTTAAAGGTCATAAGTACACATAATCTAAATGTAAAAGCTGAAGAGTTTGAACACACTGATATAGATGAAGCTGACAAGTTAACATATCAAGATGTGTTGGGATGTAAATTTAATATCCCCTAAAGCTAAAATACTAAGCTGTGTTAAAATATAAACAGTGACACATGCATCTTATGGTCAAATCTTTTTGATTCTTCTGATAGTCAAAAACAGGCATTTATATTTAAGCCCC